TGAAACAAACTCTGCGATTAATAAAGATCAAAAAATTGTTCACATTTATTTTACATCTTTCACGGATTACTTAAGTCTTAACAAAATCAGACTTCATAACATTATTTACATCACTGCGGGCCACAGCGACATACTCATTCAAAATTCAAATCTGACTATTACACCCACTGCGGGTTCACATCGCACTATACAAATAAATTGGTACTCACTATAGGAGCGGAAGTGTTCCGAAGGAAACACTTACAAATATATCGCTGGTATCATCGCAAAGTGTTCAATAGTGGAGCAGCTGTATTGATAGAATACACGGTCGTAAACCGAAATAATCATTCAAAACCTAACGACTAAATCGTTGGTCATTACGAGATAATGTGTTCATTCTCGGAGCGGGCGTGTCGACGCAGATTTGTCTGTAAATCAAGATGATCATCAGAAAACCCAACAACTTAATCGTTGGTCATTACGTGATAATGTGGTCATTTTTGAAGTGGATGCATCGATGCAGACTCGCCCATAAGCCAAAAAGGTCATCAGAAAACCCAACAACTTAATCGTTGGTAATTATTCAATAATGTGGTCTTTCTCGGAACGAGGGCGTCGACGCGGACTCGCCTGTAAACAAAGAAGATCATCAGCAAACCCAGCTAACACATCGCTGGTCGCAACAATTTACATGTTCGTCTTTGAAGTAGAATGGTCAGCGACGACTTGCTCATAAACCAAGACGACCATTGTTCAAAATCAATGGACGAACCACAAGTCCTGAAACAATATAACAATAGCATCTTTGGAGTAGGGTGGTCAATTGCGACTCGCCTGTAAACCAAAGCTGCTTTGCATTCAACAAACATGAATAAATTATTTAACAGCGTACAACTAGGCTGGTAAATATGCTAACGCTCATTTCAAAACTTAAGAGATCAAGCATCTTAACTGGTAACAAATGAATGTTCAATATAAAAGTCTCTAAAACCCAACAAACAAATCGTTGGTTGCAACACCTCTTGGACGAAACACTGGACGGACATCGTCTCCAGAATCATCCAAGTCTGAGATGATTTCAAAAGCATTCACGTCGTGTTGACGGCATAACCATGATGTCAAAGAGTCAGAAATAATTCTTTCGCCTCACCGTTTCCAAAATTTCACCTAGTCAAGAATAACTTTTTCACTTCACGATTTCACCAAGCTCCATCCTCGTAAAATCTACTTCAATTCTTCAAGTCAATGACTTCGCTCCGGTTTTGCCACGATCAAATCCACTTCGCTCAAGTTCCCTGAGTGAAGAGATGAATATTTCGTCTTTCAACTCGCCGTCAACACGAGGCCACCTCGTGGACGTCAACATGATTCCACCTCGGTGTCAAGTCACCACAAGTCCACCTTGGCTTTAAGTATACATGACCACATCGTCGTCAACACGAGTCCACCTCGGCGATGTCAATACGAGTTTACCTCGACGTCAAATCAAAACAAATCCACCTTGACGTCAAATCAATAAGTTCGCCTTGTTATCCTTCCTCGCCAAGATAGCCTCGTTGACTTGTCGCTCATCACAAATCGATCTCGTCACAACAATGATGCCTCGTCACCTCGTTGTGTCGTCACCTCGTCGCATTTTCACCTCGTCGCGTCGTCACCTCATCGCGTCGTCGCATTGTCCCCTTGTTGCGTCGTTACCTCGTCGTGTCGTCACCTCGTCGTGTCGTCACCTCGTCGTATTATCACCTCGATGCATTTTCACCACGTTGCGTCTTCGCCTCTTCGCGTCGTCCCCTGGTTGCGTCGTCCCCTTGTCGCGTCGTCACATCGTCGTGTCGTCACCTTATCGCATTTTCACCTCGTCACCTCGTCATGTCGTCACTTCGTCGAGTCGTCGGATCCACAAATCAACCTCGCTTTGTCGCTTCATCACCTCGTCACCAAATCCCTTTGGATTCAACTTTTCGTCGAGGCTATATGCTCCACGACGAGCCCAAATCAACTATGTCACCTCATTCGATTGTGGTTCGTTTCTCTCCACCTTGTCGTCTCAACTTCGCCTGGCCGCCAAAGACCTAGACGATGACCTTTCCGCTTCGTCTCGCTACACCAAAACTTCACCTCTCTCTCCGCGACGTGACACCTAAGCTCACTTTACCTCAAACGAAAACTACCTCGAGCACCAATTCACCTCGTCACGAAGAAGCTTCCCCACGACGTCCATTTTACCTCGCCACTGCAACACAAAGACCACCTTGACGATGACGACCTCGTTGCGTTCCTCAACGACACCTCATCACCGCAATCAGCCTTGGCACTTCACCTTGGCAACCTCGCGACTAGAGTGAGAGTTTCGCCTCACGCCTGCTACGCCCGAGGCATTCACGTCGTCGATAGTCAGGCTTTAAAGTCAGTTTCAACGGTAAAGGCGGAAAAAGGGGAGAGTCGGCATGGGTGATATAAGATCGGAATCACACCAAGCTTATTGTCACACGGTTTCAAGGCCTACGGCTTAAATGGATCGGAGTTCGTCACACAAAGTTACGGAATGATTTTGTGATAAGAACACGAATCAATATCTATGTGAATCGCACACAAAGACATAGATCCCATTTGTTTTCTAAAGGAATCACACACAATAGAAAAGACAAGTAAAACAAAGCCTAAGCTTCAAAAGTGAGAAACTCTCTCTTTTCTATATGTTTACACTGAATAGAGAAATGAACTTATATAGGCTCAAGGTACAAGTCATCAAGTAAATCAACATAAATACAAAAAAAAAATCAAATTAATTACAAGAATCAATCGAAAATTAAATATAATGAGAAAAATGATCAATCATCAACATTAATGGAGATTAGTTCTTTGCATGTAGACATTTTCTTGATATATCAATTAATTGATTGTCTTCTAGAAGTTTCTTTGAATTTAAGGCTTGATTAGCATTGAACCATTTGTTGATGAGCCATGGATGTGAACCGTATTTTTGAGGCTACATCA